CTGCCTCAGTTTTTATGATGGCAATTTGCATATACTCCAGAATGTTATGACGAGTGATCAGATTAATTGCAATTCATTGCAAAGTCCCTCTTTGCCATGAAAATTAACTTAATCCCCAAAAAACTTTTCCACTGCATTTCAGCCCTGCCAGAAAAGGACCAGCTGACATCATGTCAGTGATTCTCTCGTTTACACAGGTGAGAGTGTTGACGAGGACAAGGCTGGAGATCACTCATGCTGATTGAGTTAGAATAACAGACTGTAAGCTTTAAAAGGAGGGTGGTGCTTGAAATCATTGTTCTTCCTCTGTTAACCATGGTTACCTGCAAGGAAACACGTGTCGTCATCATTGCTAAGCACAAAAAGGGCTTCACAGGCAAGGATATTGCCGCTAGTAAGATTGCACCTAAATCAACCATTTATCGGATCATCAAGAACTTCAAGGAGAGAGGTTCAATTGTTGTGAAGAAGGCTTCAGGGCACCCAAGAAAGTCCAGCAAGCGCCCGGACCGTCTCCTAAAGTTGATTCAGCTGCGGGATCGGGGCACCGCCAGTGCAGAGCTTGCTCAGGAATGGCAGCAGGCAGGTGTGAGTGCATCTGCACGCACAGTGAGGCGAAGACTTTTGGAGGATGGCCTGGTGTCAAGAAGGGCAGCGAGGAAGCCACTTCTCTCCAGGAAAAACATCAGGGACAGACTATATACTATATTCTGCAAAAGGTACAGGGATTGGACTGCTGAGGATTGGGGTAAAGTCATTTTCTCTGATGAATCCCCTTTCCGATTGTTTGGGGCATCCGGAAAAAAGCTTGTCCGGAGAAGACAAGGTGAGCGCTACCATCAGTCCTGTGTCATGCCAACAGTAAAGCATCCTGAGACCATTCATGTGTGGGGTTGCTTCTCAGCCAAGGGAGTGGGCTCACTCACAATTTTGCCTAAGAACACAGCCATGAATAAAGAATGGTACCAACACATCCTCCGAGAGCAACTTCTCCCAACCATCCAAGAACAATTTGGTGACTAACAATGCCTTTTCCAGCATAATGGAGCACCTTGCCATAAGGCAAAAGTGATAACTAAGTGGCTCGGGGAACAAAACATCAACATTTTGGGTCCATGGCCAGGAAACTCCCCAGACCTTAATCCCATTGAGAACTTGTGGTCAATCCTCAAGAGGCGGGTGGACAAACAAAACCCCACAAATTCTGACAAACTCCAAGCATTGATTATGCAAGAATGGGCTGCCATCAGTCAGGATGTGGCCCAGAAGTTAATTGACAGCATGCCAGGGTGGATTGCAGAGGTCTTGAAAAAGAAGGGTCAACACTGCAAATATTGACTCTTTGCATAAACTTAATGTAATTGTCAATAAAAGCCTTTGACACTTATGGAATGCTTGTAATTATACTTCAGTATAACATATTAACATCTGACAAAAATATCTAAAAACACTGAAGCAGCAAACTTTGTGAAGACCAATACTTGTGTCATTCTCAAAAATGTTGACCACGACTGTACATGTCTGGATTTGATTAGAGCTTTGATCTGCATGAAAATTCAAACCTGATGCTACCTGTGCCTGATGAGCCATACATTAAATACATTTTATGAGCCCTACATTAACAACAGCCCAAATCCCAAATGTTTGTGCCGTTATCCAATACATATTTGATATAGGCTACTAGATATATAAAGCCCATAGATGTAGCTAGCTATATAAAGCCCATAGATGTAGCTAGCTATATAAAGCCCATAGATGTAGCTAGCTATATAAAGCCCATAGATGTAGCTAGCTATATAAAGCCCATAGATGTAGCTAGCTATATAAGAGCCCATAGATGTAGCTAGCTATATAAGAGCCCATAGATGTAGCTAGCTATATAAAGCCCATAGATGTAGCTAGCTATATAAAGCCCATAGATGTAGCTAGCTATATAAGAGCCCTTAGATGTAGCTAGCTATATAAGAGCCCTTAGATGTAGCTAGCTATATAAAGCCCATAGATGTAGCTAGCTATATAAAGCCCATAGATGTAGCTATCTATATAAGAGCCCTTAGATGTAGCTAGCTATATAAGAGCCCATAGATGTAGCTAGCTATATGCTCTCTTGGGTAAATAAATGAAACTAGCTCCAGTAGGCTAATCTTTTGGAGTGTGAACTGTATTACTGTACTGTATTGTATTATACTGTATTATATGGACTGGAATTACACACAATGTTCAAACCATGATAAAGCAGAAGAGAACATGTGATTCTGGTGCAGCACATGCGGCCTACAAAGTTACCAGTATAGGTTAGCGAATTAGATTTTAATTTGGAAATATAATAGGGCCTATTTGTATAATTAGTAGGCTGACGCATATATACCTTTTGATAATATTTCCCCTAATGTTATTAGCCTACCTCCTCTCTCTCTCTCTCTCTAGTGTTGCTTCATTCCTTCCTCGCTTCCAACAGTTAAATGAAATACGTTTTCTTTGTCCTGATCTTCACCATTCTAATGACATCCTTGAATAATATAGGACTAGAATTAGATGCAGAAGCCTTTCACTTCTCTTCAGGACGATTGAACGGGTCTGAATAAATAACTGCTATATTCTACCGCCAACGTACGTGCCCTCTTCTTTCAATCTGTCCGTGAGTTCTATTGGCCGCTGTATTTAACATTCAGCAAACGAGCTTGCATGCGTCCCTCTTCGAATAGTCTATTGGTATAAGAAATGCTAATAAAATAATCTCCAGCAAGCTATTCTAGTCTAGTTTTTTCCAGTGTGGGACTCCCAAGAGCTAAGGAGCGTTGTTTTTAAGGAGAGAGGCCAGTGGAGAACAGGTGTGTGTGTGGGTGGGTGTTGCACAAGAGACAGAGGCTATAAAGTTAGAAGCTTATTACGCAACCCCATCATTAATTAGCTAAATATCAGGCTAATACTGCATTTTAATGTATTACCTGAAAGAGGTAGGCTAGGACATCTATATATACTGTATAGGGCTATACAGTGCTATGAAAAAGTATTTGCCCCCTTTCTAATTTTCTCTACTGTTGCATATTTGTGATACTGAATGTTATCAGATCTTCAACCAAAACCTAATATTAGATAAAGGGAACATAAGTGAACAAATAACACAATAATTACATATTTATTTCATAAACAAAGTTATGCAACACCCAATTCCCCTATGTGAAAAATAATTGCCCCCTTACACTCAATAACTGGTTGTGCCACCTTTAGCTGCAATGACTCCAACTAAATGCTTCCTGTAGTTGTTGATCAGTCTCTCACGTCACTGTGGAGGAATTTTGGCCCACTCTTCCATGCAGAACTGCTTTAACTCAGTGACGTGTGGGTTTTCAAGCATGAACTGCTCGTTTCAAGTCCTGCCACAACATCTCAATTGGGATTAGGTCTGGACTTTGACTAGGTCATTCCAAAACTTCTAATTTGTTGCTTTTTAGCAATTTTCATGTAGACTTGATTGTGTGTTTTGGATCATTGTCTTGCTGCATGACCCAGCTGCGCTTCAGCTTCAGCTCACAGACAGATGGTCTGACATTCTCCTTTAGAATTCTCTGATACAGAGCAGAATTCATGGTTCCTTCTATTAAGGCAAGTCATCCAGGTCCTGAGGCAGCTAAGCATCCCCAAACCATCACACCACCACCACCATGCTTGACCTTTGGTATGATGTTCTTACTGTGGAATTCAGTGTTTGGTTTTCGCCAGGCATAATGGGACCCATCTCGTCCAAAAAGTTGACTCAAGTTTGCCAAAAAGCACCTGGATGATCATCAAGACTCTTGGAAGAACGTTCTTTGGACAGATGATTCAAAAGTATAACTTTTTGGACGACATGGTTCCAGCAATGCCTGGCGAAAACCAAACTCTGCATTTTTCTCTTTTGTTCTCAGTATAAATAATGTGGTTGCATCGTGGGTTTTGTAACTTTCAGAGTCTTCTCCCCTATGAATTGCATTTGAAGTAGAATCATAAATTATATTTATCTGTTTATTTTTCTCACACTGACTTTATTGAAGCCAACGTGGATATCTGAAAGTATTGCATGTAACGTCGTGACTCACCACAACCCTGGTGACCTTACTGTTTGTTTGTTCATCCACATCACATGAATCAGTCTGCTAAATGTCTGGTTGGCACAACAACCTTTTAAAGCCAAACGTCTGGGCTTTTTTTTTTTTTTTCTTTACTGTTTTTTTTTCTTTACTGTTCGGCACAGACAGTCGAACGTTTTGAGCTTGAACCCTCCCAGTCCCCCTCCGGCTGTTGACCTCGCAGCCCAGATGAAGCTGAAGACCTGATGGTACCCTATTCCTTTTATAGTGCACTACTTTTAACCAGGGTCCCATAGGCCTCTGGTCAAAAGTAGTGCACTAAATGGGGAATAGGGTGCCATTTGGTACAAATCCGTAATCTCTGCCCCTGACAGCACTGTAACAGCCTGCCTAGCTGACATCTGAGGTGTACATTTTTGGATAACTCCTGACAGATTCCTCTCGAAGGGAAAACCAGTGATTTAAAACAATGTCAAAGTAGATTATGAAACACACCATCCAAACATGAGGTTCCCCCCCCCCCATAGCTGATTCGGTGAGTGTTTGCATGTCCGCCGTTCATTCGCTGTTGTGATCTGACACTAAATAGAGAGAAACTCATGAGGTTGATTATGGAACACATGGACATACCTCTCTCGCTGGGTTTATTGGTGTGAGATGTGATTTTGGCTCAGTTCCTTATTTCAAAGCAGGTTGAGACATTTTCACATCTCTTAACCCTGTCAAATTATGAAATACAACTATCAGAAGGATGTATTTAATTAGGCAGTTGATGGATGACAGTTTTAAAGGGCAAGGTGTTGTTACAAATACACTAGTCTCTTGTGACATACTTGACCATAGTATCTGGCCAGGACATGAGAGATATGGCTTTAAAGTTCAGAGATTACAAAGATGCAAACTTCTACTAAGACACTTAACTGTTCTCAGATCGCAGGGAAATATGACGTGCAAAAGGAGGAGGAGCTTCGGTTCTGGATCGAGGAGGTGACTGGGATGGCCATAGGAGAGAACTTCCAGAAGGGCCTGAAGGACGGAGTCATCCTGGGAGAGTAAGTGTGTGTGTGTGTGTGTGTTTCTCAGAAGAGCTGACACTGACAGAGTGTTGACATTGCAGGCAGGTGTGTGTGTGTGTGTGTGTGTGTGTGTGTGTGTGTGGGCCCTCCACACTGTGCGGTGACGTGTGGCTAATGTTTTCCGGGTGGAAACACTGACTTTGATTTTACACATGGGTAATCAATCGCACTCCAGTCACTGTCCACAGATGGATGTGACGATTAGCATATTGTCTATTTCACATTCCTGTGGAATACACATTTGATACACAAGTCCATACTGCAGATATAATCCTCCCCAAGATTCACTTGTTAAAAGCTACTAGCATGTTTGTTGTAAGATGCCATTTTTACATTGAACATGAGCGCTTTAAGGCATAACTCTTTCTCTCCTTTCCCCTAGCCTGATAAACAAACTGCAGCCTGGCTCGATAAAGAAAATAAACCACTCACAACTGAACTGGCACAAGGTAGGCTAATGCTCTGAACTGGCACAAGGTAGGCTAATGCTCTGAACTGGCACAAGGTAGGCTAATGCTCTGAACTGGTACAAGGTAGGCTAATGCTCTGAACTGGCACAAGGTAGGCTAATGCTCTGAACTGGTACAAGGTAGGCTAATGTTCTGAACTGGTACAAGGTAGGTTAATGCTCTGAACTGGCACAAGGTAGGTTAATGCTCTGAACTGGCACAAGGTAGGCTAATGCTCTGAACTGGCACAAGGTAGGCTAATGTTCTGAACTGGCACAAGGTAGGCTAATGTTCTGAACTGGCACAAGGTAGGCTAATGTTCTGAACTGGCACAAGGTAGGTTAATGCTCTGAACTGGCACAAGGTAGGTTAATGCTCTGAACTGGCACAATGTAGGCTAATGTTCTGAACTGGTACAAGGTAGGTTAATGCTCTGAACTGGCACAAGGTAGGCTAATGTTCTGAACTGGCACAGGGTAGGCTAATGCTCTGAACTGGTACAAGGTAGGCTAATGCTCTGAACTGGCACAAGGTAGGCTAATGTTCTGAACTGGCACAAGGTAGGCTAATGCTCTGAACTGGTACAAGGTAGGCTAATGTTCTGAACTGGCACAAGGTAGGCTAATGCTCTGAACTGGTACAAGGTAGGCTAATGCCTTCCTCAAACATAACCTCAGTGTATGGTGTTGTTCACACCCTTCTGTAATAATATGAACACTTTTTTCAAGAGAGCACAGAAGCCATAGAGTGGCTATTCATTAAGCCTTCACCTCTCTCTCTCTCTCTCTCTCTCTCTCTCTCTCTCTCTCTCTCTCTCTCTCCTTCTTTAAGGAGTTATTACTTTCTGATGTTTGTACCTAAGTCCCTTCCCCATCGCTGCTATGCCCCTCCCCCATGCATGCTATGCCTGTCTCATCCCTGCTATGCCCCTCCCCATCCATGCTATGCCCCTCCCTCATCCCTGATATGCCCCTCCCCATCCCTTCTGTGTTCTGGGGCCTGTTCAGGATGATGTAACGTCACAGAACATTCAGATAGAAATGGTGTAGAAGGGGATAGGATTGTCTTGTCAAATAGAGTAGAAAATAGTACCAGCTCTGTAACCTGTGTTGTTGTGTTCCCCCCAGCTGGAGAACCTTGGCAACTTCATCAAAGCCATCCTGGCCTATGGCATGAAGCCTAATGACATCTTTGAGGCCAACGACCTGTTTGAGAACGGCAACATGACCCAAGTCCAGAGCACACTGCTCTCCCTGGCCAGCATGGTGAGGGGGGTAGAAAGACTTTCCAAATGTTTTTTTGTGATACTTTGTAGTTTTTTATGGTAATTAGTGTATACTGGGAGAAAGACTTTGCTGACAGCTACAGTGAAGTGTCACCAATACTTTCTGATAGGGTTCCTTCTCTCGAAGAGACCTGTAGCATCAATATATTTCCGCATTCTTATCTCATTCCATAGGCAAAGACCAAAGGCATGCACACGTCGTGTGATATTGGTGTGAAATACGCGGACAAACAGACACGCCATTTTGACAATGAGAAGATCAAGGCTGGACAGTGTGTCATCGGACTGCAGGTAAGACATGGTGGGGATGATTGGTGATGATGTTGATGACAATAGGTTGTAAGGCTCTGTTACTGGGTGTGACTATACAATGTGTTGTTTTTGTTCATTGTTCTACCGTTCAACATTGTGCCAATGAAAATGATCCCTTTAATTGAATGTTTATATGTAGCTGATGTCACTGATTCTTCAAATGTAATACATGCACAATCGCCTTGTAATAGATGTCAGATACTTGTAAAAGATGTCAGATACTTGTAAAAGATGTCAGATACTTGTAATAGATGTCAGATACGTGTAATAGATGTCAGATACTTGTAATATATGTCAGATACTTGTAAAATATGTCAGATACTTGTAAAATATGTCAGATACTTGTAAAAGATGTCAGATACTTGTAAAAGATGTCAGATGCTTGTAAAAGATGTCAGATACTTGTAAAAGATGTCAGATACTTGTAATATATGTCAGATACTTGTAATAGATGTCAGATACTTGTAAAATATGTCAGATATTGTAAAATATGTCAGATACTTGTAATATATGTCAGATACTTGTAATAGATGTCAGATGCTTGTAAAATATGTCAGATACTTGTAAAAGATGTCAGATACTTGTAATAGATGTCAGATACTTGTAATAGATGTCAGATACTTGTAATAGATGTCAGATACTTGTAAAAGATGTCAGATACTTGTAAAATATGTCAGATACTTGTAATAGATGTCAGATACTTGTAATAGATGTCAGATACTTGTAATAGATGTCAGATACTTGTAATAGATGTCAGATACTTGTAATATATGTCAGATACTTGTAAAAGATGTCAGATACTTGTAAAATATGTCAGATACTTGTAAAATATGTCAGATACTTGTAATAGATGTCAGATACTTGTAAAAGATGTCAGATACTTGTAATAGATGTCAGATACTTGTAATAGGTCTATTCAGCTAATGGTTCTATGTTCCTCCGTGTTTAGATGGGGACCAACAAGTGTGCAAGCCAGGCTGGTATGACAGCATATGGGACCAGGAGACATCTTTACGACCCAAAGACCCAGACAGACAAGCCTTACGACCAGACCACCATCAGTCTGCAGATGGGCACCAACAAAGGAGCCAGCCAGGTAAAACCAAGGGTTTATTTTAACACTGTGAATGTGTATGTCTATGGGTAGAACCCACACAGTTGCTTTTACATGGGGTCCACTTCCCCCTATTGAAACCATGATGGAACCATGATGTGATGGAAGGAACTACCCAGCAAGTGCTACTCTCAAGAGAGTCGGGGGAATGTAACAGAGAGTCGGGGGAATGTAACAGAGAGTCGGGGGAATGTAACAGAGAGTCGGGGGAATGGAACAGAGAGTCGGGGGAATGGAACAGAGAGTCGGGAGAATGTAACAGAGAGTCGGGGGGAATGTAACAGAGAGTCGGGGGGAATGTAACAGAGAGTCGGGGGAATGTAACAGAGAGTCGGGGGAATGTAACAGAGAGTCGGGGGAATGTAACAGAGAGTCGGGGGAATGTAACAGAGAGTCGGGGGAATGTAACAGAGAGTCGGGGGAATGTAACAGAGAGTCGGGGGAATGTAACAGAGAGTCGGGGGAATGTAACAGAGAGTCGGGGGAATGTAACAGAGAGTCGGGGGAATGTAACAGAGAGTCGGGGGAATGTAACAGAGAGTCTGGGGAATCTAGATCTACTTTGCATATTGCCATAATCACATTGTTTAAAATACATAATACACATATATGTCTCGAAGAAGACCATCCAGGTCAATATTCCTGCCTCCGAACAGTTTTCTTGGAAATCTCCTAAATGTGTCCCCCCTCCCCGTCCCCTCTTCTCTCCTAGGCCGGTATGTCCTGCCCGGGAACGCGTCGTGACATCTTCGACAATAAGCAGGTGCAGCCGGTGGACAACTCCACCATCTCCCTGCAGATGGGCACCAACAAGGCGGCGTCCCAGAAGGGCATGAGCGCGTACGGCCTGGGACGCCAGGTGTACGACCCCAAGTACTGCGGCTCGCCCACCGAGCCCGTCATCCATGCCGACGGGAGCCAGGGCACCAACTGCTCAGAGATCAGCGACAGTGACTATCAGGCCGAGGAGTTCCTCCAGGAGGGCGAGGTGGAGGAGTACCCAGTGGCTTATCAGGAAGAGGACAACTACAGCGACGTGGCCCACTACAACGAGGTCGACCAGGGCATCGACTATTAGGGCTGTCCTCTCAGGGCCATCCGACACTAGCCTGGTCCCAGATCTGTCTGTGCTGCCAATGACCATAGGAGTTGGCAACCGGACTAATCCGGCTCCACCATAGCACAACACCAACCGCTAGACGGAGCAGTAAACAGTGTGTTTTATCCACGACAAGCAGAGCAAGTCTTTTCCTCTGTGGTCTTCTTTTTATTGTATTTTTTATTTTTATTGAAGCCTAAGAGAGAGAAATATTGCCTTGAGTTCATTACTTCTTCACCTCCTCCCAACTCTTCTTCCATTTGAGCAGCAGTGGTTTCAGTCAGTTGTAGTTAAAGCATAGAACGTGCTGAGACACAGTGTTGGAGATGTGCTATATTAGGCTTGAGAACATTCCTTCTAAATCTACAATTACATTATGAAGTTGTATCATCTGCAATCATTCCACTTTTTTTATCCCCAGACTTCCTTTACTGATTGACTCATCCCTTTAAAGGAATTCACACAATCATGCCAGTCTTAAAGGTTCACCAGCTGCTTTGATCTTTTTTAAATGTTTACTCATCTCCTAGCCAACCTAAAATGACCAATATTACTTTCTTTTTTTTATTGATACAAATCAAAGTGAGTGAAAATGTGGAGGAGTCAGGACATTTAATCTGTTTCATTTTAGTAGGTTTCAATCTTAACCACTGGACCATTTAGCTTTTACCTGAAATCGTGAAGTGAGTACTTTCTAATGGATTTTCCATTAGACCAGACAACCAAATCAGAATGTCCTGCTTTTATTACAAACAGTATGGCTAATCTTATTATGCCAATACATGTTATTTAACCTTTATTTAACCAGGAAAATAGCCTTTGAGGTTAGAAACCTATTTTTCGAGGGTGACCTGGCAAGAGGTCAACAGGAAGTAGTCAACATGTACACACAATACATTAAAAACAATTAGAATGGTCCAATTACATTCTCTTCTATCAGAGCTTTAAACTCAGGCAGCGGCACCCTCTCCTCCAGTTTTAAAGTATTTTGTAGTTTGTTCCAAGTCCAAGAAGTGTTTGAAATGATTGTTTCCCCATTTCAATACTTTCCCTAGGAACTGAGAATGAGAGCACTGACAGAGTGGAGGCTGTAGGATTGTGATGTTGTTAAGTGAGGAGCAAAGATACGTAGGGAAGAGTCAAAGATATGTAGGGAGGAGCCAAAGCACTGCCTTGTACACACATATGTATCCGTGCCTTCTGGTAGGAAGGGAGGGCCACTTCACCATGTTGTATAGTTCACAGTGATGGGTCTTGCATTAGTTATAGCCCTAAGTGATCCATGATACACCGCGTCCAGCATAATCCAACACAGATAAAAATTGCCCTTGTACTAACTGACATAGGAAAAACAAGATTTGTTCCTAAAATAAAAATCTATTTTCAGCTTCAGTTTCTTTGTCAAGTTTTCAATGTGCTGTTTGAAATTAAGCTGTTCATCTAAACATATGCCCAGGTACTTATAAGAATATACCCTTCTGATCAGTTGGCCATTTAAAGTTAAAATCTGCAAATGACTCCATTTGTCTGCTTTGAGGTCAGACAAAACCATGTGCTGAGTCTTTCTGGCATTCAGCACAGTTTCAGGTGGAAGAGTTGTTTCTGAACGGCATTCAGCACAGTTTCAGGTGGAAGAGTTGTTTCTGAATGGCATCCAAAGCCAGTTGCAAATCCTGAAATGCATTCTCAATTTTAGAGGCAGAGGAGTAGACAATTGTGTCATACAGGTGGAGTTTTTTTCCCAAAGTTAACATGTTCACCAACATCATTAATATACAGTGTGAAAAGGACCGGCCCTGACATGGACCCTTGAGGGACTCCTTTCTCTGACTTCATGCCCCCTACTGCGCCACACACTGGGTTCAGTCAGAGAGGTAGTTTTGGAACCAATCCAACTCTCCAGCACAAAACCTATTTATTTCTCATCTATTCAGCAGCAGGGCATGGTCAACATGTCTCATGTTCTTATTATTATTATAATAATTTTTTTATCACCTTTATTTAACCAGGTAAGCCAGTTGAGAACAAGTTCTCATTTACAACTGTGACCTGGCCAAGATAAAGCAAAGCAGTGCGATTAAAAACAAGTGCGATTAAAAACAACAACAGAGTTACATATGGGGTAAAACATTTACATTACATTTACGTCATTTAGCAGACGCTCTTATCCAGAGCGACTTACAAATTGATTTATAGATGACCTGGAGCCAGTGGGTTTGGCGACGAATATGTAGTGAGGACCAGCCAACAAGAGCGTACAGGTCACAGTGGTGGGTAGTATATGGGGCTTTGGTGACAAAACGGATAGCACTGTGATAGACTACATCCAATTTGCTGAATAGAGTGTTGGAGGCTATTTTGTAAATGACATTGCCGAAGTCAAGGATCGGTAGGATAGTCCGTTTTACGAGGGCGTAATCTCTGGGGATCTCAGACGTTACGAAAGAGAGGTTGAACAGGCTAGTAATAGGGGTTGCGACAATTTCGGCGGCTAGTTTTAGAAAGAAAAGGTCCAGATTGTCTAGCCCAGATGATTTGTAGAGGTCCAGATTTAGCAGCTCTTTCAGGACATCAGCTATCTGAATTTGGGTGAAGGAGAAGCGGGGGGGGGGGGCAAGTTGCAGCGGAGGGTGCAGAGCTGGTGGCCGGGGTAGTGGTATCCAGGTGGAAAGCATGGCCAGCTGTAGCAAAATGCTTGTTGAAATTCTCGATTATTGTAGATTTATCGGTGGTGATAGTGTTTCCTAGCCTCAGTGCAGTGGGCAGCTGGGAGGAGGTGCTCTTATTCTCCATGGACTTTACAGTGTCCCAAAACTTTTTGGAGTTAGTGCTAGAGGATGCAAATTTCTGTTTGAAAAAGTTAGCCTTTGCTTTCCTAACTGCTTGTGTATATTGGTTCCTAACTTCCCTGAAAAGTTGCATATCGCGGGGGCTATTTGATGCTAATGCAGTACGCCACAGGATGTTTTTGTGCTGGTCAAGGGCAGTCAAGTCTGAGGAGAACCAGGGGCTATATCTGTTCTTAGTTCTGTATTTTTTGAATGGGGCATGTTTATTTAAGATTGAGAGGAAATTACTTTTAAAGAACAACCAGGCATCCTCTACTGACGGAATGAGATCTATATCCATCCAGGATACCCGGGCCAGGTCAGTTAGAAAGGCCTGCTCGCTAAAGTGTTTTAGGGAGTGTTTGACAGTGATGAGGGGTGGTCGTTTGACCGCGGACCCGTTACGGACACAGGCAATGAGGCAGTGATCACTGAGATCCTGGTTGAAGACAGCGGAGGTGTATTTAGAGGGTAAGTTAGTCAGGATGATATCTATGAGGGTACCCATGTTTACGGATTTAGGGTTGTACCTGGTAGGTTCGTTGATAATTTGTGTGAGATTGAGGGCATCTAGTTTGGACTGTAGGATGGCCGGGGTGTTAAGCATATCCCAATTTAGGTCACCAAGCAGTACGAACTCTGAGGATAAATGGGGGGCAATCAATTCACATATGGTGTCCAGGGCACAGCTGGGGGCTGGAGGGGGGTCTGTAGCAAGCGGCAACAGTGAGAGACTTATTTCTGGAAAGGTGGATTTTTAGAAGTAGAAGCTCAAACTGTTTGGGCACAGACCTGGATAGTACGATAGAGCTCTGCAGGCTATCTCTACAGTAGATTGCAACTCCACCCCCTTTGGCAGTTCTATCTAGATGGAAAATGTTGTAGTTGGGGATGGACATTTCAGAATTTTTGGTGGCCTTCCTAAGCCAGGATTCAGACACTGCTAGAACATCAGGGTTGGCGGAGTGTGCTAACGCAGTGAATAACTCAAACTTAGGAAGGAGGCTTCTGATGTTAACATGCAGAAAACCAAGGCTTTTACGGTTACAGAAGTCAACAAATAATAGCTACTAGGGAGTAGGAGTGATACTGGGGGCTGCAGGGCCTGGGTTAGCCTCTACACCACCAGAGGAACAGAGGAGGACTAGAATAAGGATACGGCTAAAGGCTTTAAGAACTGGTCTTCTAGTGCATTGGGTACAGCGAATAAAGCGGGCAGAGTTCTGGGCGTTGTAGAAAAGATTCAGGGCATTATGTACAGACAAGGATATGGAAGGATATGAGTACAGTGGAGGTAAACCTAAGCGTTGGGTAACAATGAAAGAGATAGCATCACTGGAGGCACCGATTGAGCCGGTCTCGGCGTGTATGGGGGTGGAACAAAGGAACTATTTGAGGCAGTTTGAGAGGGACTTGGGGTTCTACAGTGAAATTGTATAATAAGAACTAACTGGAACAGCAATAGGCAAGGCATATTGACATGGGAGAGAGGCATAAAGCAATCACAGGTGTTATTAGAGAGACCTAAGACAACAACTGGTAATGGCGATAAAGTTTGGGCTGAGGCTAAACAGAATAAACAGGACAGGGTACCGTGTAAAGGAACAGTCCAGCAGGCATCAGCTGTGCAGCTGAGTGATCATAAGGTCCAGTGAACAGCAATATGTGAGTCCGAGAGCAGTTCAAATTGGTGCTTCAGCACAGCGAGCAGGAAGCACGGTTGTAGTTTGTGTGTGCTAGCGGGCCGGGGCTAGCAGATGGATCTTCGTGGTCGTCGCAACGGGAAGCCTGTTGAAACCACGGACGATTATGTCGGCAGACCAGTCGTGATGGATCGGTAGGGCTCCGTGTCGACTCTAGGAGGTCCCGTCCGGTTGACAGAGAGGTAGATAGCCGGGAGATGTGCCTGACTCAAGGCTAGCTCAAGGCTGATTAGCCAACAACAACGTTCATTTGGTTGCAGCTAGCTAGTTGCGATTATCCAGTGTTAAAGGTCCAGTGATTCAGTGATTCCGGCAGAAAATCCGATATGTTCTGGGTCAATAACTCGCTGTGCAGACTGGCCGATAATAGTCCAGGCTAGAGCTGGCTGGTAGGTAGTGCAGGCCACGGACAATGGAGAAAAGCCGCTAACGGTGGCTAATAGCAAGTAGCTAGTTAGCTGGTTAGCTGGCTACTCCCGTCCGGTAGACAGAGAGGTAGATAGCCGGGGCTAGCT